AAACCTTACTTGTTTTTCAAAATCTCAAATTTCATATTTTAATGAGAAATCCTTCTCATTTCACTTCATAAAAATGACTTAATGATCGGTCCACGTGCCCCGCTTCAAAGCAATGCTTCCTCTTATGGATTGACCCCTGCGTTCTTTAGGTTCTGCCTCACTAAACATGATTCCCTGTATTTGATGTTTAACTTCTACCTTTCAATTGTCAGGATTTTAACATCCTGCATCTTCTCTTTTCACTGGAAGATCTGTCAAAACTATGTGTTTATGCATGAAACACGAATGCAATTAAATATATCAATGTAATGCATTTTCTTTTATGCAAATGACGTTCTCATGAATGCATAAATATTGATTCAATCTTCATTTGAGTTCAAAGTGGCGAACTTAGTCTTTTTCTACTTGATCATTCTTTCAAGGGTCTACTTCATATGCTCGTGTAGCAACTCACGGTTTCCAACTTGCATCTTTGACAAGCCCTCTGATCTTCTTCTTGTCGTCTTTGTTTTCTTTCTTTATTTCGGAGAAAATGTTTTCTCTCTCAACATCTTGCTATAGTAAGAAATACGACTGTGTTGCCCCATTTCCGTCCTTGGCTCAATTATACTTTCAGAGTTGTTCTTCCAGGACTCTGCCATTGATCAATGCTCAGTTGATTTGCTTTACAAGGTAAGCTCTGCTCAAATTCACGGTCTGCCCCTAACACTTCAAGTTGTGAGGCTCATTCTCAATATCTTCTTGATCTGAATCTTGTCATCCCAACATGATATGGGTTTCTGGTTATGCCCCAAAGTGGGTACTCTTGGATCTCTTTGTTCCCAACATATCATAACTTGAATGTTCTCATTCTCGTGTCACTACATAGTAGTGTTGTCAAGTAGTTTGAAGGCGTCTCTTCACATTGTCATAAACACTTAAGTGCCTAATTTTTCTAACAAAATGTCTTGCATTTTATACAAGTTGTAATATGTGCCCCTTCTGAATAATGAGATCATCTTCTTCTTGATGGGTAATTGACAACGTCACAAGGAAATTTTATAAGTTTCATTCTTCATTCATTCTGTTCTCTTGGACCATCTACTTCAAGATCGTGGAATACTTCATGTTCTGGCATTGCTTATTCCTTTTCTCCAATAGAGGCATAATGAGTCTCACAAGCTTCAAGGACCTTTCACACTTGAAACTGTCATGTTTGAAAATGTTTTTCCCTTTTCTCTTATTATAGGGATCAAAGAATGAAAGAATTTTATAAAATATTGCCCCTTAATTCAGACTCACAATCAAATCAAATCATAAACATGAGTTCAAAAAATATCAAAAGAATCAATAACTATTTAATTTTTCAGAGTTATAACTCTTTGACAAGTGTCAAAATTGATGGGTTGGCTTCAGTTGGCTTTCTATTTTTAAAGGTTTCAGCCAACAAACTTTATATTTCTTTCTCGGTCTTCGTGAACATCACAACATGCCCCTTCTTCTGGCTTGGTATTTTTATCGGATACGGACAAAATGACGCAACTTGCATAATCAATTACTATACTTTATAGAACACTTCTATTTCAGTTCTCTGAAATCTTCCATTTGTTCAAGCCTCGTAGACTCCTCTAACAAAGGCAGTGCAGAAATATCGATCTAAAAATGAAATTCCTGAGTGCTCGTGTGAAGTTGACTATAACAGGTTTTCCTTAACTCCCTTAGTCAATCTTTACCGAAACTCCTTATTTAGAAAAACTTGATTTAATTTGCCATTGTATGGCTAGCTGAAATCAGCTTTATTGTAATTTGCCTCTATCGGGCTAGATGAAGGGGTTCGTCTCATCACAAAGTCTTTGACTTGACAATCACAGTGGAGCATACACCAAATTGCCAGGTACCCGATCAAGGTCATGGTTTGAATATAATCTATTCATAAAGCCAGGGCTTTCGAGTTTCCTCTATAACCAATTGCTTTAGCGGAATAGCTCAGCTTTATTGTATATATATAATATCATCACCTTTATTAGGCTAGCTAAATTATGTCCATAAAGCCGGGGCGTTTAACCAATTGCTCTAGAGGGACAGCTCAAGCTTTATTGTATACATATAATATTATAATTTGGGTATACGGGTCCAATTTCTTAAGCTTGTCAAGAAGAACCTGTCATAGTCTAGGTGTTGTTGAAAGTCAGAAAATCTCATCAGTAGAGTTCAATTTCCAAGCAACTGACCCAAACTAGATTCACCTACTCGACTATTCCATCTGTAAAGATCATAATCATCCTTGAACGTCATCAACAAAAGTGTGGTCTATTCAGTTTCGTGACATCATACATAAAAGATGCCCCACGTTGTCCGCTCCTATACATACCTGAATACCAAACCTATTGTTCATCTCCTTATGATAGAAGAAGGCTATATCGGTCCTTGCAATAAAAAGGTATGGTGTTCGATTGTATCTTCTGGGGATAAGGTCAAGGTCCTTGTTTTATCAGGTTTCAACCTTGTCATCTTGTCAAAGATTTATAACTCTAATCATTTAAAGAGTTTTTAATTCAGTTAATATTCAAAGAATTTCAAGTTGCAAATTCGATTTAATGCTTACCATCCTTAAAGTAACATGAATTTATTTAAATATCATTATACAAAAAAAAACTGAGAAATGATGAAAAACAAGTTCAAACATGATTTTGCAAATGGAATAAAGCTTCATGATAGAATGAAATGATCTCTTCCTATCTAGGAGGCCTCATTACCCATCTAATGTCGTGGCACTTAACTCAAACGGATGTTACATATTGCTCTTTGATGCCCCACTCGAGCTCGTCATCCACTGTTCCACCAATTCCTCTGTTAATGTCCCATTTGCCACAAGCTTCTCTATCTCCTTTAACAGCGGCCTACAGTTTCCCGTAGAATGTCCCAATGCCCCCAAGTGGAAATCACAGACACTATCTTGATCATAGCTATGAGCAGAAGGGTCTGGTTGCACTTTCACTGGCCTCGGTGTGAGGTATTGACCTTCAATCAAATGGGGATATAGATCTGAGATAGGAGTTTGGAACACTTTCAAAGTATTTTTTGATCTTGGGACTTTCTTTGGACGCCTCGAGTAACCCACTACCCCTTTTCTTTTACGACTTTGAGAGCTCTGGACGTGACATTCATTCACCTCATCAGCTTGCTCCTTTTGATCGGTTGGGTTTTTAGAAGTGTCTTTCAAGTTTCCTTTGCTGATTGCATCCTCAATTAACTCTCCAGCTGTCATAAGATCCTTGAAGTTATTCGTCGACTTTCCCAACATTAACTCAAAGAAAGGAGCTGGAAGAGAATCGTGAAACATATATGATATTTCTTCTTCTAACAAAGGAGGTTGAACTTGTGCTGCCACTCCTCTCCATCTTAGGGCATATTCTTTAAAGCTTTCAATAGCTTTCATTCTTATCCTTTGAAGGTCATGACGTTTTGGGGCTAAGTCTTTAACATATTGATATTGTCCCAAAAAAGCATCAGCTAGGTTGACCCATGTCTTGATCTGTTCTTCGTTCAAACGGTTATACCATACTATAGCTGGCCCAACAAGACTATCATGGAAGTAATGAATCAACATATTGTCATTATTTAGGTACCCTTCCATCTTTCTACAAAACATCTTTAGATGAATTATGGGACAACTAGTGCCATCATATTTTTCAAAATTAGGCACCCTAAATTCATGTGGGATAACCAAATCAGGGACCAAACTAAGTTCTCTAGCTTCTAACTCCTTGTGAGGGGCATTAACAATCTTCATATCTTCAATGGATTCATTCAACCACCTGAATTTGTCTTCAAATTGCTCAAAATTGACGAGGCTCATCCCTAGGTCTGAGTTAGACGCTCCAGAGCAAATTATCACTCTTGATGTACCAATCTGATGAGATTGATTTCCTTTATCCTCTATTTTCTCTTTACTAGTAGCCTGTGGTACCGGTACCTGGATCATTTGATTCGATACGCCTTGTAAAGAACCCGATGCTTGATTCCCCGTATCTTGTTGTGACCCGACTAACTGCTCTTGCAACTGATCTTGTGATCCCTTATGAGATTGCTCCATTATTTCCATTTGCTTATTCATGACGATGAGGAAGTAGTATGAATGGATGATATTGTTATTACTGTCACATAACCTTCCATCAATCACAAATTTCAGCCTCTGGTGTAATGTGGACGGAACTGCACCGGCCTGATGAATCCAAGGCCTTCCCAACAAATAATTGTACGTAGGCATAATGTCCATTACGAGAAACTCTACTTCATAAGTTGCTGGACCAATATTCAGAGGAACATCAATCTTGCCCAACACTTCTCTTTTAGTCCCATCGAAAGCTCGAACCACACTTTGACAGGTTCTCATAAGTGTACTATCTAATGGAAGCTTCTTTAGAGTCCCTAAGGGCATCACATTCAAAGCTGAACCATTATCAACCAAGACCCGGGACAACACATGCCCTTTACATTTAACCGTAATGTGCAAAGCCTTCTGACTACCCATCATCCCAGAAGGGATTTCATCCTCAGAAAAAGATAAAAAATTATCAGCTTGTACATTGGAAACTAAACGATCCAACTTTTCAATGGGCAACTCTTTCGGAACAAAAGTCTGGTTCAAAACCTTTAACAGAGCATTCCTATGGGCCTCTGAACTCAAAAGTAATGATAAAACAGAAATACGGGCAGGCAACTTGTGTAACTGTTCCACAACACTGTATTCACTATGTTTCAGAAACTTCAAAAATTCTACCGCTTCAGTCTCGGTTACTGGTTCATTGATAACAGGCTTATCCTCTTCTATCTGCACATCAACTTTTTTCCCCTTATCAACTACAACCTTCTTCTCAGACTCTTTAGGTGGATTAAGAGAATAACACCTACCACTTCTAGTAAAGTGTCCCACCTCATCTATTTCCTCATTCTCTTTTGTTACATCTCCCATCTGGCAATCATATCTCCAAGGCACTTGTTTATTATCCCGATATGGGAATGGAGATGGAGGTGTAATAACCACTTTCGGGGCTACCTTCTCAGCAACTCGATTTTTGGGAGTAATAATTAGGGGACAACTGGCATTGTATACCCCTTTAGACGATCCTTCTGAAGCGCAAACTTCCGCTTCCTCTTTTTCAGCAATCTCTCTAAAGAACTCAATTTCTTTATTGTCCATCATGTCTTGTACCAAAGATAGGAAATCAGGACATTGCTGAATACTGTGTCCTTCACTGTTATGATACTGACACACCTCTCCACTGTTAAACTGTTCACCCATCAAACTGGGCTTCAACAATCCTACCTTGACCATCTGGCACCACACCCAACTCATGGGTGATACCACCTCACTAACATTTTTTGCAATTCTCTTTCCTTTCTCTTCAGTAATCGCATTAACTCCTGCCCCTGCATGGCTTGGCAACGGATTCTGAGCTATATTTGGCTGCTCACTGTCACCAAAGTTGATGACATTCCTCGTTCTCAAAGCTTGGACAACCTTCTTAAAAGCAGTACAATTCTCAATGGAATGCCCAGGGTTCCCTGCATGGTACTCACACTGAGCACTAGCATCATACCATTTGGGAAAAGGAGGTTGCATTGGAGTCACGTGATACGGCGAAACCACATGCCGATCATACAAAATCTGAAACAATTCCTTATAAGTCATCGGAATTGGATCAAATTGAGGCCTCTCTCTCCTCTGGTCCCTGCCCCTTGTCTATTGTCATTTGTGTTGATGACCCTGCTCCTTGAGGACGGGAAACAGTAATGTTATTAGAATCATACTGCCTCACATTACTGACTTCGTTTTCTTTTTTCCTCGTTGGTGGTCTCTTACTAGACTCTCCTCCCTCGAGCTTCCCACTCTTAACAGCCATTTCAATCATTTCTCCCGCCGTAACTACATCAGCAAAACTTCGATAAGGATTACCGATAAGATGCGAGAAAAAAGGAGCCTTTAAGGTATTGACAAAAAGCATATTTGTTTCTTCCTCTTCCAATGGCGGGTGGACTTGCACTGCTATATCTCTCCATCTTTGAGCATATTGTCTAAAACTCTCGTTAGACTTCTTTTCCATTCCTTGCAACATCATCCTGTTGGGCCTAACATCCTTCACATGTTTGTATTGCTCAAGAAAGGACTTAGCCAAGTCTTTCCACGATTTAATATTAGCTCTACTCAGCTGGTTATACCATCGGATTGCCGAGCCAGTTAAGCTTTCCTGAAAGCAGTGTATCAACAATTGATCGTCCCCTATGTATCCGGTCATCTTCCTACAAAATATTGTGATATGTGCAGAGGGGCACCTGGTACCATCAAACTTTTCAAAGTCAGGAACTTTAAACTTTGGAGGCAAGACCAGATCAGGAACTAGACTTAACTCCTTTGCGTCGAATCCATAGACACTAGTATCTTCCTTCATGGCTCTGACCTCTCTTTCTAACTGCTTCCATTTCTCTTCCAACAGATTGTTTTGGTCCTTCTTGGCTTCTTCATCAAGGTCCGGAACTTGATGATATTGATGTTCTTCTTGATACGAACTAGATCCAGGCTGTACGTTAACAGAAGCACCGACCGGATTAATGTGCACCTTCCCGACATGAACAGGGGTCACTTGAACATTCTGAGATTATTTTGGGGTTAACCCTGGATGATGAAGTGGGTCTTCAGCTACACCTTCTGGCATAGGGCTTTTCCCATGTTCTGGATTTCTTCCATCCAACATACTCGCAAACTTGGCAAACATCTCCTTTTGGGCATTCATCATATCTTCTTGCATTTTCTTGATATTATCTTGTAACTCCGACTGAGCCTTCTCAATTTGGGCAAGTTTGTCTTCCATAACTTTCTTCCTGGTTTTGTAGATATACTTGGGATTTTCCAGTATTACTCTGTCATAGAGTCATTTTGTTATCGCTGATATTTATTAATGAATATGAAACATATGATTATGAATGAATAAAATGCGATGCAAAAATTAAATGCATTAAAAATGCATATGCAAAATGCAGGGTGTTGATCCCGGAACGACTCCTTAGAACAACTCTTTATATTAGAACGACGTTCAATTACAAAGTTGAAACATATCACAAATAAATCTGCACCATCTCTCCTATTTGTTGTACATGTGCTAGTAACTCTACAATCTTCTGGTTTTCTTCAGCCTCAGGATCCAGTTCTTCAGTCACATCAGCAGCTTCCTCAGATAGAATGACCAAATATTGAGCTATCCCCCGCGCGTGGTCTAGGTAACAAGCAATAAAGTCCTCTATTTGCTTAACTCTCGCCTGAGCTCGCTCCCACCGAAAACGCCACTGTATATCCCCCTCATAAGGAACTATTGATAGCTCACTTGCTTGCCTCTGAAACTCTTGAACCATGGCTTCAAGCTCACTCACTTGTCTTTTCAGACTTTCAACCTCTCCCTGGCTCGAGCTACCTTCCCCGCTTCGGTATCGTCGTAATACAGTCTCTAAACTTGAAATTTTCCCCTTCAACTTCTCATTCTGGGCTTGACTCTCTTGTAACCGCTGTTCTAAAGAATCATTTTCCTTCGATAAAATCTTATCTTGGTGCCTGCTTTGCTTGAGCTCTTCTTGACTCTCTCCGGCTACTCTTTTGAGGCTCGCCACCTCTTGCCTTAATTCGACAGACTTACTCGAGCTAGAACCTACTTGAGCTTTTACCATTCGCTGATAAGTTGACCGAAGATCGTCAAAGTCTAGCCGAAGTTGCTTCTCTACTTTTTCAATTCGATATGCTCTACTCTTCTGAATGTCAATCTCCAATCCCTTTTGATACACTTCATCTTCCAATTTCTGCAAAGTCATTCTCCATTGTCTCCGTTCTGCTTCGAAATCGCGCTTGGCTAAATCTAATGGAGATGGCACCACTCTCAACTGTTCCTCCACCGGCTGAATATTTTCTGGATTCACCATCGGAATATTGTCATTTACTCGACCGCTTCTCCACTGCTCGTACTGTTGAGACAACTCGAGATCATAGGTAAACAAATTCACACGACGAGTTTGCTTCCAGGCCTCAGCAACCCCTTTAACTTTACCCTTATATTGATCTCCTTTGAATGCAAAATCCGACCCTACCAAGTCCCATGTGGCTGGAATGAACTGCCTTGACCCATACTGTCTAGAAACTAGTAGCGGTGCATACCCAACAGAACCCCATATACCTGGCAAAGGAACCCAATCTCGCTCTCCACATCGGTAAAGTATATCCGAAGAGGTATTCCACGAAGCTCGCCACAAAATATCTCCATCTCTGATATCCTTGAAGATGACCATCCATTTTTCTTCAGTAAAACCCCCAGGCCACTTTTTAGCAAGAAAATCCTTCAAAGGTGAGAAACCGTCTAGAAATACTCGTCCTGGTGCTCTTTCAACATGTTTGAAATGACTCAGAATCCACACTAGCAGCAAAGGCGCACATCCTATAAAGCGTCCTTCTCCCTCGCGCCTACAAGAACTCAAAGACCGGAACGTCTCAGCTAGAATAGCTGGAACAGGATCCACGCGCTTGTCTAATCTTTCAAACAGGTCAACAACTGATACGTCTACATATCCTAGCACTTTTGGAAAAATAACAAGCCCATAAATCCCTAAAGCAAACAAGTCAAGCTTCTTTCTCTTATCAGGGTGATGAGCAATTACTTCTTTCAGAGCAGCCCAAGAGATGCACTCACTATCTCCCTTCTTCTTAATGTTTCTGACTACCCAATCTTCACTCATTCCAGTCATCAATAGTAATTTCTTCTTAAATGAAGGAGTGACTGGCAGCTTGGTATATATTCTATCCATTTGGGACCTCGGACAACGGACCAAAGCTTGATACTCCTCTATCGTTGGTGTTAGATCCACTCTACCAAATGTGAAACAGCTATAAGCCGAGTTCCAGAATTGCGCCAATGCTCTAAACAGATTTCAGTCAATAGGAACATCCAAAAGACAAGGAATATCACCGTACAACTGATAAAACATCTCCTTATCGGCTGCTTCCCATCTTCCCCATATCTCTCTTAGCTCACTCAGATCATTCTGACGTACGTTGATGTGGGTGTAACCAAATAACTCTGACACATATCCAGGCATCACGCTGTCTCCATTGGTCAACTGGGACTGTTCCGACCACCTCAGAACATCTGCATTGTCCTCAACCTCTTTCCGAACCGTTCGTTCCATATTACTGGCCTTCTATATGGACATCGACCCCAAATCAACACCATGTAATGGACAATGCAATGCAAAACAGAAAAGAAACAAGGCAAAAACAACAAAAGATCGGTTAGTAAACATAAAGCAATTAAGTCGGGATAATAATTTATTCAAGAATCCTACCCACATGCTGGCTACCCAATCATGCTTTATCAGATCCTACCCAACATGATATCTACCCCCATGCTTTGTTATCCATAAAAAGAAATCCTAACCGCATGATATCTAATTCGCATGCTTATTCAAAAATAAACCTAACTGCATGATATCTAGTTCGCATGCATTTATTCGAAAAAACGAAAATAAATGACTCAAAAAAAAACTTTTCCTTGTGTACCCTCCTCACGGGATTCTTAAGGTTCGGGTTTGGTTCAACCTAAGTTCGGGCTCTATGTTCACTATATGCCGGGTTAGGTTCTAAAGTAATAGGTTCTCGAATTGTCCTTGCCGGTGCCCCCTTGGGATGTCGAACCCTCAATCCTGGCCCATCACAGGCTTTAGGGGATCGAGTTCAATTTCGAGGGAGCACACCTCCTTATGTCCATGCGGAGGTGATTACCATCACGAGGACCATAAGGCGTGAGCTCCAGGAGCGATCCACTATCCCATGCGGAGGTGAAAACCACACGAGGGCATAGCCTCTCACTCCTACTTAAATAGGACGGAGCGAGGTTTTAGCTCATGTTATGATAATGTAACTGAGCAGTGTGTGAGGAAAAGTGGAAAAAAAATCAATAAAAACACTCAAAATCAATTCCCAAAACACACAATTATTCTGAAATCATTAGCAAACAGATCAGTACAACTATTTAATTGTCAATCGAATTAAATTAAAGAAATCAAAATACAAACAAAACTTATTAAAAACAAAGTAAGTGATCAAAAACCAAATTAAAACGAATTTATAATTTCCAATTGCAAAGACAATTAATTAATCGACTATCAGCCTGACTCTCTAAAAAAAAGTCCCCAGCAGAGTCGCCAAGTTGTCGAAACGATTTTTTCTTAAAGGGTGAGAAAGTGAAATTTTGAAAACCACATTAATTCTTAATGATCTCTTTTTAATTTAAAAACAAATGTGATTTAAAATACCTCTCGTTTCGAAAAATTTTGGATTTCTTTTACGATCAAAACATACGGTTCGAAGAGTCGCCACTAATCTTTGATTAGGGTGTGATTGGGCACCCAAAAATGCTTTGTCATTTTAAATAAAAATTAATTTTAATTAAAACAACAAATTGAGGTCTGCGTTACCAAAAAATGAGTTCGGGAGTCGGTTACGTGTGGGGGAAGGATTAGCACCCCCACAACGCCCTAAATCGGTACCTAGTCGATTAATTAACGTCCTTGCAATGAACTTTACAAATTCAGACTTAATTTGATTTTTGATCCCATAGAACAAAGATGTAAATTTAAAAACATTCAAAAGCACTCAAATAAATTAAATTAAAATTACCGAGTCGTTTTAGAAAGATAAAGAATGTTCGATTATTTACAAATATCGAGACCAGATCTTAAAAGTTATAACAACCTTTTCTCGATAAATTTAAATAAACGAACATTTCCTTTTCTTTCGTTCCCAAATTTTAGGTGACGAATCAATTTTTTGGTTTCACTTTCGGGATACACTTTTAATTTAAAATAGTCAAAACGGCCCTCTAATCAGTTAAGACAGGCCACTCGAAACAATTTTAAATTAAAAGGGTATTACCCTTAGCCCGATTATGTAATAGGTCGAGTTATGCACGTGAGGCTATCATGCAAATTATGCAAAAAGTGGATGTCATGCCAAAATTAATTAAACAAAATTAAAAATATCATACAACGTGACATACAAAAAATCATATATGTATATTTTAATTAAAAATCATAAATTATGCATATTAACATATTATGTACACATATGACCTAAATATAAAAACAAAATTATAACATGCTAAACTATAAATTTTAAAAAGTGTATATATACATAAATATAATGATTAAATTTAAATGTAAGTAAAATTAAATTTATAAATAAAAAATAAATCAGTGACCTAAACATAAAATACTAAAATTTCAGGGTCTGATATAAAATTTATCTTATTCGGTTTAAACTAAAATAAAATGGAAAATAACATAAATGACACTAGACATTTAAAACAGCTAAGAAAATTTAAACAAATGAGAGACCGTTTTAGAAGAACACATAAATCTAGAGGGCCTAAAAATAATCTATCCCTAAAGTTATGGTGACTAAACCTTAATTTACCCAAAACTATTAATATAAAAAGTTAACTAAATAATAAACCTAAGCTAATGTTATCAAACTGCACGGCTGACTCCCATCTTCCTCTCCATTCTCCCCTCTTCTCTCTCGCACACACTGCAGATCAGAAAAGGAGACCGGCTGCCGCTCCTCTCCTTCAACCACCATCGCTGCTGTTCGGCCACCGTCCATCAAAGGCCACACGACCAGTCCTCACCCTCTATCTCGGCGAAACCAACAGTAATAATTCCGGCGAAAAAGGTAAATGGACTAAAACCCTTTTCCTATTTGCATTAAACCCTTAAACGAATTGATTTCAAAATATTTACTGATTTTATTCTATTTTCTTTTAGGAACCTAAGCCGACTATTTATGCTTCCTTCGAATGTAGCATCGGAAATGATCCCAAACCTCTAAGGTAAATGTACTGTTATTTCTAAATATTTTAACTTGATTTTGACCCAAAGCATATGCATGTACAAGCAAATTACAAAAACAATTAAAAATGGAAACAGAGAAATAAGTAAGCAAATTACCCCTTTTTGATTTTATGTATTACTTTGATTCAATGACAAGAGATCCTTTGCTTCCTTTGATCTTCGAATAGGAGGGAAAAAATCAGTACAATGTTTTTCTGTTTGTTCTTATTTTCTGTAAAGAGAAACAATTCTGGAGGTTTCTTTTTTTTTTTTCGGTCAATTCCTCATATTTTCCTTTTTTCTTTTTTTTCTGTCCCCCCTTTTCTGTTCTGTTCTTAATCAATAAAAACTGCCCCTCACTCCATTTACAGTTTTTTTTAACTCCTGATAACCATTTTTCAGTTTTCCAAGACTTCACGGACTGGAAGCTTGGATGATAACAATGCTGGGTCATTAGGCTTGAACTGGGCCTTCAACGAATTGGGTTCTTTAGGCCTGTCATTGCTCGGATCTACTCTGACTTAACCCCGGACAAAAACGAGCATCTACAACTTATTCACCTAAAAAAAAGAATGACCTATTTTTGGTGTGTAAAATATCTACACTTTCCATTTCAATTGTTGTCTTTTAAAATTGAGATGTTTTATAGTGATGGGTAAAAATAATGGAGAGATGAAAACAACTTTGACAAATTCGTCGGTAGTTGTTGTCGATTTTACTTTTTTTTTTTAAATTTTGATACTAAATTGTAAAAAAATGAAAGTAAAAGACCAAAATAAGAATTATTCTATCCAAAATGTTCTATTTGAAATTTAACAAACAACAATGTTTATATATATATATTTTTTACTATTATATATCACACTCTTTTATATTTATCAAAACAAATCAATTAAATCTATCAAAAACTTTTTACAAATAGTTTTATCATTTTTATTAGTCAAATATATCTCCTAAAATTATATGTATAGTCAATATAAAACATAAATTATGGAACGAAATGAGTTTATTTTTCCCAACACTTATTATTTTTCTAAATTGCGCCAAATAAAACTAATAAGAGAAAATAAATTGAAGAAATGGAAAATAAGTAAATATAGGAAAGAGTAGGGGGACATCTCCTAAAGATTGGAACGGCGTAGTGTCTGGTCGTTTCCCGATGCCGGTTTCTTTATTCGATCGAATGGTGATGAATTGAAAAGCATATTCTCCTTTTTTCTTTCTCATATAAAATATTTTCCCTTCTCTTCCTCACATTAAACATTTCCATATCATACATTAACCCCATCCCCATCACATCTAAATATATTCTTCCCCAAGTCTTATCACTTACAAAATAACCCAACCCTTGCAATTTTAGCTGTAAGTTCTTTCATGTACATCAAATCCCACTTTTACATATGTATATTCATGTGGTTTCAATAGTTTTTGCTAACCAATGAAAGTTTTACTTTGCTAATTTTATCCTTGGTCTGTTCTTGAAGCTCAAGAAATGGATTTAATCATGTCAAGCTTGTGGTTTTATAGAAATGGTCTATAACTCTATGCATAAAAATGAAATCTTTATTTTAAACTAGTATTACTGGTTTTGAGGTTTAAGGATTAGATGATGTAAATTCTTTGAGAAGCTAATCATAATATCTCAATAAATCTTATTTAGTTGTTAGTTTGATGGTTTTTTTTTTTTTGCAGTTAAAACAGATCTGTTTAGAGCTGGAAGCTTTCTTCATCAGAAGCAGTGAAAGAATTGCAGATCTGTTGTCTGGCTTTGGATTTCAACTTTGCACTAATTCTGACTACAATCAGTGAAGAAAAAGAGGGAAAAATGAAATCAAAACATACCCGTTTTCTTCTCGATATTATATTAGTTGTTCTAAGCAGTCGACACCTGTAAACAACTTGTGCATTGTTTCCAAGTGAGCAATTTTTTTTTAATCTTTTTGTTGGTGGTTTCAGAAACAGTTGATTTATTAATGGGGTTGTCTGTTATTTACTAGTCTTTTTGTTAAACTAAATTTGTAATGGTGGTTTATGTCTGCCATGTTTAGGGTCAGCTTAAAGAAACCAGCTTTGAATAAAAGAGAGAAAAATAAAGGGTTAGTTTTCAGATCGGCACCAAATAGTATACAGCAATCACTGCCATTTTTATTTTTATTTTTTTTTGCTTTGAGCTTAATATTGAAGCTGAAAAAGAAAGGGGTTTTTCTTGTCAGGTTCAAGAGGGTATATATTGGCTGCTGCAAGCAATTTACAATGCCTGTTTCAACTTTTGTTAAAGGCTTATCAACTTTGAAAGAGGGTAGGTTTCTGTAACTCTCTTTCTTTGACTTACCTTTAAGTAAATATAAACAACATAATAGAGCAGTAAAGTCAGATCTTTGTGAGTAGTACAGATTTTAATGAAATTTTGTTTGAAGTTTGAAACTTTGAAAGCATCAGAAGCTTTTAAAGTTTTTTCATCTTATCTTTAAAATTTCCTTCATTTATCTTTTGTACTTTTCTTTGCAGGTTGTGGCTGCCATTTCTCAGGTTTATGCTTTTGAAAGCACTGCTGCATAAAAGAAAAGCTTAAAGGAAAGAGATAGAGATAGAGATAGAGAGAGAGAGAGAGAGAGGATGGTCTACTGACCTGGACTGTGATATGTCAAAGGCCTTTCATCACACTACATAATCCAAAGTACTATTTTTTGTGTGTAATAGTAATCATCAAGACACATAGAACATCTCAATCCCACCATTTTTTTTTCTCATCTGCTTTCTCTTTCTAACATTTCTTCAAAGGAAAAGAAAAATCCAGATTTTCTTTCCTTTTAGCGAGGAAAAGAGGGTATAAGAAAAGGGGTGGGGGGAGGCTTTTGAGTTGGTTTGTGAGAAAGGAATGAACTTGTTATGGAGGTGGATGATATTCAGACACAAGCCTGTAAGTTCTCAACAGCTGGTAATGATGGAAGAAATGGGTCAAGCAAGGTTGAAGACAATGAAGATGGAGATGTCACCAGAAAGGCTGCTGCAAACGGCGGCGGAGTTTTAGCTGAAAGTGGTGGCACTAATTCACTTAGAGGTTGGAGCAACTCTTCGAGAATTATTAGGGTTTCTCGAGCCTTGGGTGGCAAAGATCGGCACAGCAAGGTTTGGACTTCGAAAGGGTTAAGGGACAGGCGAGTGAGATTGTCTGTTACTACGGCTATACAGTTTTATGACTTGCAAGATCGATTGGGTTATGATCAGCCTAGTAAAGCTGTGGAGTGGCTGATTAAAGCAGCTTCTGATGCAATTGCTGAGCTTCCTTCACTCAACGCCTCATTCCCAGACACCTCAAAGCAACTCAGTGATAAGAAAAGAGCGAGTGAGGGTGTTGAGCAAGGGTTTGACTCGGCTGAAGTTGAGTTAGATGGTGATCCGAGTCATTACCAACACAACCAAACTCAACAACAGCACCTTTCTTTGTCGAAATCGGCTTGTAGTAGCACGTCCGAGACGAGCAGGAACTCAAGTTTGTCCCTTTCGAGGCCGGGGATCCGTGCGAACCGAGTCAAGGCTCGGGAACGAGCTAGGGAAAGGGCAGTAAAAGAAAAAGAGGCTCATCATCATCAACAACAAATCATGAACCCCATTCCTCAAAACTCCACCTTTACTGAGTTACTCACCAGTGGCATTGGCAATGTCAGCAACAATAACAACGCCAGTCCTACTTCAGCTTCAGCACATCAAAACCCCAATGCTAATATGACTGCCAGGGTTTGGCCCGTGACTCAAATGGATTATTTCGCCTCAGGACTCCTTGGACCTTCTTCTTCAAGAGGAAGTCATCATCATTCCTCAGCTTTTCCAGGACAAATCCAGCTTGTAAACTCTTTGCAACATCCAATGGCAACACCACCAGTCACTTTGTCAAGTGAAAACCATCAAGAGATGCATAATTTCTCGTTTGTTCCGAACCCTGACCATCTGATCCCGGTGGCAACAACAACAACGACAACACAACCGGGGCATGGGGTTGACTACAATCTCAATTTCACAATCTCTTCTTCATCCGGCCTTGCTGGTTTCAATAGGGGGACCCTTCAGTCCAATTCTCCTTTTTTGCCTCATCACCTCCAGAGGTTTTATTCTATAGATGGGTCATCACAACCTTTATAAATTTGTACACCAGCTGTGGATAATCATCGCCACCACCACCAATTCCCAGCTTATTTAGACGGCCGCTTGCAGCTCTGCTATGGGGATGGAAACAGGAACTCAGACCAGAAAGGAAAAGGAAAGAACTAATCAGTTTCCTTGAAAAAGAAGGTTCCCATTTTAGCCCCCCAATCTTTTCCCTGGTAAGTTGAACATCCTCATTCAATTCAAGTCACTCCCTTTGCATTAATTTTCTTAATCAAAGTTCATATCTTTCTGCCTGGTTAAGGGTTTATTTAGACTTTAGAGTTAATTTTTTTGAGTTGATTATGACTAGCTTTTTGGTATATGTGTTGTGCCATGAATCACTCACTTTCCTGGTATTCATAAAGTCTTCCATCGGGGAAATATATATTTATAATTTTTGTGGGTTTCAAGTAATACAATTTATAATGTCTTTTCATGATTCCTGCATGGATTGATGTGAATAAGGACCGGCTGGTTGTCTCCTCGTTTGTTCTCTTACTGGTTCCCTTCCCCCTGACATATGTTAACCCATGCCAGGTGTTAGTTTCTTGGTGGCAAAGCATTGCTGGGGCACTGAATAGAACAATTAATATCTGCTTTTGAAACATGGTTTTACTTTGGTATAAAGCTTTAGAATCATTAACTTGTTTATTTATTTATTTTGCCTCAAACTGAACATTTGGCAATGGATCAGTTGGTTGCCAGATTCCTTAGTTGTTGATTAGGGGTAAAATAAATCTTAAAATAATTGAAAACCCCATGCACGTAAGACCTCGAGCTCTCAAACTTTAAGACAAATGGTTGCTCCCAAGGTAAATGGTTTTCTAGGTTTAAGGTGAAGATTTTAATTGTATATTAAAAACATAGAGACGAAAAACAAAAAAATATATATATTTAGTGGATTGACTTTAAATTCAATTAACATAGTCTTTATAATAAAACTATTAAGCTACTTGATAAAAGAAAATATTATTCTTTCTATAAATTTTGAGTTTGAACAACTGTATACTGAGGATGTGTATTGTTAATGGCATCAAAAACAATAAATGAGCAAAAATAACAAAAGAAAACATCACCCCTAATAAAGAATTTTTCCAATATGATTTAAAATTTCAGAAATTATGTATATTATAAAATGTAAAACAATAAACAAGTCAAGTTTTCTATTTCTAAATATTTATTCTGTTCTACAACAATAACCCTATTCTGGCATTCTCCTTCAATTGTTGCCACGATTTCTTCAAATTATGCAAGAAAAAAATTACTTCTTTTGAGAACACCCTCCACTCATTTTTGAAAGGTGTCTTTATAAGGGCAACTTGGAGTGGTAACTAGGGGTTATTCCTTTTCTATGTTTGAAGGTAAAAAGGTGTAGGTTAGGATCTTTGTGATAATAGATTTAGCTTATGTATCATCTTCTTCGTGTGTTTAGATGTTGGCACTCTCTTTGTTTGACTTATATTTTATACGGAAAAACAAATAAATTAATATATTCTCTTCAAATGGATAATAGATTTCCTTTTGTTCTTAGGTACTCCTGTTTTGTTTTTGTTTTTTTTAGTTTTAAGGGTTCACGTTCTCATCTTCTTAAAAAAAGAATTTAGTATATGTTGATGGTCTATTTAAGAAGCAGTCGATGGTTTGAAGAAAAAAGAGAAGGACGAGAGAAGATAATGATCAATGAGTATAGATTTTAGATCCTTCCTTTAATCTTAGTTGTGCAGGTATATCAGTAGGTAGTAGGGCGCCATGTGTTAGTTATACTGTTGAATCTATATTTTGATAAATTAGGGTAAAATACTTTTGGACTTCAAAGTTTTTAAAAATAATTCAAAGTCATAAAATAAGGATTTGAACACATTATTATTGATATTGTTCTTGCAATACCGATGTCGAAGATAAAAGAAGTATCAATATTCCTGCGATCAATACTATCTATTATTTTCAAAGTTGTTTAAATTCTGGTTTTTGATGGGTTGACAGGTGAATAAGTTCAATTACTATATAATAGATTTAGCTAATAATGACATTGACAACAGTTATGTCAGACTGTAATCAAGTGAATGAGTTTTGAAATATCTTGATATATGAAGAAATAGAAAGAGAAAGGGATTGCTTGTTGCTTTCTACTTTTGATTATGATTTTCAATGGACTCTTCAATAACCCTAATTGAAGTCACTCTAAGGGTCATTGGGATTAACCATCTGCAAAAGAAAATCACCCCATTGTGCTATCAAAGCAAGACATCATGCGCTTAGATCAATTAATCCGGATTACTCTAGTTTTTGATCAAAGTCTCATGTTCGAATCCTTAAAAATACAACAAAGTTAATTATTTGATGGAGGAATTTTGTTGTCTTTGTGGTCATATACCCGATTCCATGGGATTAAAAAGTTAGATGTTAGTTTGTTAAGTCATATTATCCAAATAATGTCCACTACCAATTAGTTTAACTTGATGAAGCCTCAAATTTCTTAAACAAAGTTCTAGGTTCAAGTCGTAGATGGAACAAACTAGGTTGAGACGATAACTCTTATGAGTCTTTATTGTATGTGATCCATATTAGTTGATTAATAAATTGAATACCAATAGTTATCCTCCGCTAGGGATATCCTATAAGAATAAATCAACTCTTTTTGTAGCTTAAATTGAAGAATAAGATCATAGCTACCATATTTATGTTAAGTTTTGGTGCAAATTTTTTGGATGCAGGAAAACGCAAAGATGGAGAAAGTTGCATGGGAAGCAATGAGTGAGTTTCCATCCATGCATTTGGTGATTGATATATATACCTTTGTTGTTGTGCTTCTGAAAAAATTGTTGGTATTTCTGGTTTAATCCTTTCTGAAGTCCATCGTTGTGTGTTTCCAATATGTATCACAAAAACAATTCCATTCAAGTTAATTCCTTTTTTCCTTCCTGAAAATTGTCCATCTGGTTTGAGAAAATGAAGAAAATCAATATACTCTATCCACAAAAAGTGAGACAACATAAATATCCTTGATCATTAGACCAATTAATGAATCTTCCCGTTTCTCCTTGATCATTCGATACATTTATAATGCATCTGTTTCCAATATCTGAAACAATTTGCAAGCCTATTTATTCTTGCTTAGAAACCAAATCCAAGAACGATACATATATAAAATAAAAAAAAATTAAAGGGTTTTATGCAACATATTTTAATCTTTTTAATAATTATTTATGTATAATAGTAAAATAGTAATTTCATATAGTGAAATGGATAGATTAGGGATAATTGAATAGTAATTTCATATAGTGAAATGGATAGATTAGGGCAAACAATTATCATGATCATCTCATATTGGAAATGTTTGTCGATTGGTCGGTTGAAGTGAAATTCATATATAAAATTTAACACATTTTACGCTTGCTCAAAATATGGACATCAAATTTCATCTAAGCTTACATTTGGTGGGTATACTATAAACCAGGGAAGATTTATTTCAACTGTTCTTTTTTTTTTTGGAAGAATGATTGCGACAGATTAAATACTTAGCTGCTAAGTATACTTCTTCTTCTTGGCAAGCATTGATGCTACTTTATGGTTTTTACATAAAAAGATGAAATGTCTCGAAAAAACTTTTGGGTTCTAAACAGAAACTTGATTAACTTAATCAACTTGAGGTTGTAGCTTCCCAAAGGATGTCGGACATTTGAAGTTCCTTCTCCGAAGATGTAGAAACGTTCTTATGAGTTTTCCGGAAGTCCTGAGGTACAAGAAGGTACAACACGACTCAAGTCACTCGTCACTATGCTAATAGTTTAATTGACGAATAAAAGCGACGTCGATGAGGTTATCATTTCGTTACATTTGAGATGGCCAAATGGGCAATTTCCTTGGTCAGTTGTGTTAATCTTTTGCTTGCTTCAGAAAGAGAGAAAGTGAACAAGTTGATGTTCCCTAAGCTGCAAAAGAGCCTGAAAAAAGGAATCCTAAAGATGTGTGTAATGATATAAATTTCTATTTCAGCTTGATTTTTTTTTTCTTAAAGCAGTTAGTAGAGATGTGATCCTTTAAAGTCAGCAATATGAGCTGTCATTCTTGTTTATGACGATGCTTTATATTCCTTTGAAATTAAAAAGAGAGGTAGAGATTAAAGCCCTTCTGAGGGCTTTATTTAGCATTTTATGACCTTTTTGTACACTTACTCCACATCTTCATCAACTGTGACCTTCTTTGCAAGTAAAAGTGGACATGCTAAATGACTAAAATGGGTAGAAGCATGAAAGAAGAAGAAAAGGGTGAAATCATATATGGCATTTGATTTCCACAACAATAATTTCATTTGAACTTTATAAAATCGGTTTATACAACCATTGCTGATAATGAGATTCATAAATAAAACTTCGATTAAGAGTACAGTAAATTTTAACAATAAATTTTAAAAGTTGTGGCATGGGTTATCACTTTGTACCTACTTTCTTTCTTAAATGAAGCTTTCATGTTTGCTTTGACTAAAAGGTAAAGCAAATTTTATGGAATAAAACACTGAAAGCTAGGTGCAAACTGCAAACTACAATACTTGATTAACTCCATAAGTAACATAAAACAATCTTCAAACCTACAATATTCACATATAGAGAAGGATTATAGATAAAAAAAAAAGAGTAAAGGACTAAAATCCTCAATGCTCTTACACCATCGGTCTAGTCGCAAGTGTGCACTCTTACAAGAATATGCCTGAAATGAAAAACAACCAGCAGATGCATTTTGTCCTTCAGTTGAAGCACAAAAGCTGAAACACTTGCCAGTGTGCATATCGTGCATGGATTGCTTTCAATGGTGGTCCAAAGCAGCGTTTAGCTTCACAAGGCACTGCTCTGAGATTAAGCTCCACACATAACAAAATTGTTGTTTGATCTTCGTCGGCTGCCAAAACGTATGCTATCCTTTCTTCCCCCTTGATCATTGTGCTAGACATCTCTCCCTGTAAAGAGCCAAATGATCTCAAATGAACATTAAAATCATAGAAGATGCATATATAAAAATCGAGGCTAAAAATAGACTGAAGAATGCAGGGATATTCAATGCAACCAAGTGTAAGTGAAAGTTTCTCCACATCTAGAATGAACATTAAAATCTAATTCCTCATTCACCGCCAAATTTATGAAATTATACAAATCAATATGATCATGCATGCCTATTAACCAAACATAGAATCAACTTACATGAAGAATTAAAATAATTTCCAAACTAACATAAAAACACTTTTTTTTTCTAACAAATTAATCAGCACCAACAAATATATCAAGCATTCAAGTATTGTTTTACCTTCAAAGATAAGGAAGAAGACATCAAAACGAGTTCATCTCCAAACAGTAAGTCCTTCTCTTAACAAGCATCTTAGCTGCAGTCCCATTAGGCTCTTCAAAAGCAGTTGACAACCAAGAAGCATCAGGAATTTCTTTCTTTGAAGCAGACATTTCACTTGGCCTAATAGCAACCAAAGTAGCACCTTTCAAAACAACCCCATCAGGCAATTCTAACTGAGGAGCATACCAAAGCCTCATATTCAGAGCCGGCACCAGCGTCCTTTTCGAAGCAGAAGAAGCAGACAACGGCTTCACTCTCAACTCCTCAAGCTGGTCTCTGTTCATACAAAGCATCCCTTGTCCATCCGCATCAGTTAAAACCAAGCTGTCAAGTGTCTTATGCTCTGCGATTATCTGTTGAAGCAAATAATGCCTCGCCGATGCCGCGATCAACGAGCTAATCGTCCAAACGACCCTTAATTTCAAGCCTCCGTTGGTATAAAACGACTCGGGAAAACGACCATTATCATCAGCGTTGGCGATGCTATTATTTGGGCAAAACCCACCGTTCCTACAGTCCTTTAATTGCAAATTAACATTCTTATCAACGGAAGAAGCTCCGAGGATGACGCAGTTATCAAGGGTTGACCCGAAATCGGCTCTCCATCTCAATAGAATCCCATCATCGATACTCAACTCGCCGCTGGGTAATTCGATCCGGAGGAAACGAATCTCGTTGAAATTTCTAAGTACTTGGGTCGGAGAATGATGCGTCACCCCACCTTGCTCCATTTCCCCATCAATAGCATCAGCCCCGGGACCAACAGATAAGGAAGAAGATAATGAATGGGTGTTAAGGGCTTCATTGAGAGCGGACCGTTTAGGACCGAGAATTTGAACCAAAGTTTGGAAGGGCTTAACAATGCCCCCTAAAAGGAACCAGAAGAGGCTAGAAATCGGACCGGCGGAGCGTGACTTGTCGTAGGAGGAGGAAGAAGGGGAACAATCGTCGTCAGAGATGACGCAATCCACACGAACGACGACGTTTTCAACTTGCGTGATGAGTGAATGGAACCGGCGCGAAACGGCGCAGCAACGGCCGAGAGCTTTAACGTCGCCGATGTTGTTGAAAACTAAGAGGAGAATAGAGTCCGGGAGACGGTCGAAGTGATCGATCGGTTCGGGATGGATTATGTGAACCGGATCTGAAGCAAGCGAAGACATTTCCCCCCTTTTTGAAACTGTTCTGATTGAGAGTGGAAACGACATGGAAGTGATCACTTGCGTACTATAGATCTGGGTAGACAGAAAACTGGTTCTCTATGGCTCAAATTCTTTTATTAGTCCTTATACTATGTATAAATTACAAATTTAGTCAATTTTAATCTTTATATTTCTTTAATTTTGATACTTTAGTCTTAGTCCAAATAATATATTAATAAAATGATTAAAGTAAAATGATCAAATTGAATAGATGAATTAAATCTATATATTGCATATGTTATAGAACCTAATAGCATAACTTTACTTAATAAATTTAAGAAGCATCTTAAATTTTAAAAATAGAAGAAGCACACATATATCAAATTAGAGTATTCTGACTAAATTTACAACTTTTGAATGACACAGAGACTAATTAAAGAATTTAGCTAGAGACAATTTTTGAATGACAGAGGACTAATAAAAAAATTTGACAAGAGACATGCAATAGTAAAAAAAATATTTGGTTTTAATCCTCTTGTTGACAGCGGTTTTCGTCTCTACGTTTTTATATTATTATTATTATTTTATTTATATTTATATTATATTATTTTATGCATGCCAAATTATAAACCTAAATTGGACCCAAATACAACCTGCCCAAGTGACTCAGTGGGCCCAAATCAGGCCAAACAACAAAGCCCAAATCGAAGCCCAACAGAGCTAAACACCTAGGGTTTGAAACCCTAAGGTTTCCAGCAGCCACCACTGCATACAGGGGAAGAGTCACGCCACCGCCACTGTTTCAACCATTAATTCTCGACGATCCCGACAGCTATCCAACTGCTCCATAGTAATCTTATCAAGCCAACAGATACCAAATCGGGAAAAAAAAGAAACCCCATTAGAAAATTAATTAAAATCCCAAAAAATGGGGTGAATTAATGCAAATATAGGGGAAATCATTCCCCTCGGTTCTAGCTTCAACCAAACACATCAAGTATGGAAATAAAATTAGAGAAGAAACGTGTGGGGGAGGGGCGTTCGATTTGAAAAAACAAAAGAAAAGAGAAAGAACAAAAAACGAAAAAGAATAAAAAAAATCTTACCTCAATTTTAAAACTTCTCACCGGCAACGATGGGAGGTAGAACAAATCTTTAAGGTATTTTCCGTTTATTTGAGGTTTTCAAAGGGTCAATTTAGGGGTTAAGAGAGTTAGGGGTGGTGTTTAGGTCATTTTTGGGAAGGTTTGGCCCCTCATTGGGGCGATATAGGGTGTGTCATGGTGGTTCATGGCCATCGATCGATTTCTCTTTACTTATAATATATAATTAAGGAGGGAAAATGAGGGAGGACCGATTGGAGTAAGGAGGCAAATGAGGCTAGGGTTAGCCAAAACACTTATAATGATGTATATTTATTAGTTCTAAAATGATGTAGTTTAGGGGGTTAAGGTTGCACCGTTCTGCACGTGGGGTAAACTGTGTGAGGGTGGTCTCTAATTGCGGGTAGTTTACATTTTGGTCCTTAATTAAACTTTTCTAAATTTGTGATTTCACCATCTCCTTTTATGCGTGATGTATATTGGTCACCTTAAGATATATTTTTGTTTATTTCAATTTCTAGCATGTAATATTAGATATTTACATTTCGGTCCTAAATATATGGGTTTATTACATTTTCAATGTTTGTAATATGTGATTTTTACATTATGTGTTGTGCTATTTATTTAATTTACTTTTGAGACATTAAATTCTAGTTTTATTATTTAGTCCCTTTCTGCTTGTTATCTTATTTTTAGGACTATTTCAAGTTAAGTGCCTTACTTTAATAATTTCCATGTTGGTCCTGAATGATTAAAGTTGGTTTATTTACGATTGGAGTGCCTAGTTTGTAAAATATTTGCAATGGTTGCCTTGATTTCTTGTTGGTTGTATAGTTTAATCCCTAAAGTCACCATCTTTATTATTTTGATCCATCATTTACATATTTGTTAATTTCCTGCTAGTTGTAATATTTTCAAATATTATTTTACATGAGGAATTTATAGAAACACGTCTTCACTGACAAGGAGTGCGTTTTCAAGAATTGTTTAAACAAAATAATACCTTTTATATTCGAATGAATTTGTTTTTTAAATATATTTAATATATGTATTTAACTAAAAGCTAAGGCAATATTATTTTGTATGGGGAATCTATGGAAACATGCCTTAACTGACGAGGATCACATTCCCAATGATTGTTCATACAAAGTAACAGCTTTTTATATTCGAGTTTTTTTCTTCAAAATATTGTATATATATAATTTATTAAAAATTAGGGCAATATTATTTTGTATGGGGAATCCATGAAAATGCCCCCTTAACTGACAAGGAAGATATTTTAGAGAATTGTTCATTTAAAATAATACCCCTTATATTTTTTCTAAAAAGGATCATAATTGAAATGTATATTCGAATTTGTAAATTTCAATATTTATATGACATATAATCACTTAAGTACCTATTTTGGGAGTTGTGGGGGTGCTAATCGTTCCCCACAAGTAATTGACTCCCGAACCCTTTTTCAAAACGAATTTTTGATAAAACGCATACCACTTTTTATCATTAAAATTATTTTTCTTAAATTATTTTAAAGGATATTTTTAGGTATTCAACCTATCTCACCCAAAGGTTGATGGTGACTTCAAATTTGTTTATTTATGCATTTATTTTAAACCCAACCTTTTCAAAGATTAAGTTGAAAAATAAAATAAAAAATAACAATATTAAAACTAAAGAAAGCAAGCAGCAATAGTACATTCGAGATAAATAAGAAAATAAAAAGGAACAATATTAATTAGATGAAAATAAAAGTGAAAGAATCAAAATAAATAAAAAATGAAAACATGAACCTTAATACAAAAACATGCAAGATTTCCACGGACCTAAGAGATATATATCCAAACATAAAAAAACTCCTCATCCTCTCTTATTCGGGTGAATTCACGAGATAATGTTCTCGATTTTTTTTTCACGATATGGTGCACACACGAGATTAATTGTTGGAATGGGGTGAATTATACAGTGATCATAGGACGCCATGCAATCCAGGCGATCTTGTAGGACGCCATGCAATCCAGGCGACATACGGGTTGACATACGAGCCATACGAGCCAATGGTTCTCCCCATGCATACGAGCCATACGAGCGTTCTCCCCATGCGAGGTGGCCATACGGGGTGACATACGGGGTGACATACGAGCCATACGAGCCAATGGTTCTCCCCATGCATACGATCCATACGAGCCAATGGTTCTCCCCATGCATAGGAGCCATACGAGCGTTCTCCCCATGCGAGCCATACGAGCGTTCTCCCCATGCGAGGTAGGAGCCATACGAGCGTTCTCCCCATGCGAGCCATACGAGCGTTCTCCCCATGCGAGGTGTGTATGCAGTGGAATAGAGAGGTCGCCATGCAGCCTAGGCGACCTTGTAGGTCGCCATGTGGTCCCGGCGACCTTGTAGGTCGCCATGTGGTCCCGGCGACCTTGTAGGTCGCCATGTAGTCCTGGCGCCATTCCCATCATCCATTCCCATCATCCATTCACATGCAACCATATAGATTCCTTCCTTCACGTGCTCCCCGCTGCATGCTGCATGCCTACAGCTCCCAATGAAACCATGTGAACCATTTGAGCCAATGCATGCATGTGAAATAATTGGTACAATAATTGAACCATTGCTGCGTGAAATATCATAGCTGCAATTGTACAATTATTGGTGAAATAATTGAGGCAGCCGGTTATAAAAGAAAGAAAGAAAGAGAGAAGAGATTGCAGAAGAAAGGGAGAAGTGATTGCAGCCGAGAAAGAAAGAAAGGGAGAAATGAAAGAAAGAAAGGGAGAAAGGAAAGTAAGAAGAAGAAAGGGAGATAAGGTAAATTTTTTTATATTTAAATTAGTTTATTATTATAAATGTTTAATTTGTTAGTTTAGGGTTTAGGGTAAAACAAAAAGCAGCTAATTAGTTTGTTAGTTTAGGGTTATATGATTGTTAGTTTAAGTTATAGTATACATAAATTAAAAATTATTTAATTATATGTTTGATAGTTATATAGTTAAAAAATAATTAATTAGTTGTTTTGTTAATAGTTAGTTATATAAAAAATTATTTAATTAGTTTGTGTTAGTTAAATAGTTAAGTTATTTGTTTGTTGAATTTATATTATATAAAAAATTAGTTAGTAAGTTTATTAGTAGTATATTAAATGAAAAAATAGTTTATTAGTTAGTTTTAGTTATATAGAAGAATATTTTATTAGTTGTTTAAGGGTTTAGCGTTTACGTTTAACTTATATTTTAAAAAGTTTAGTTTGTTAGTTTATTAGTTTATTATATATAAGTTATTATATTAAAGTTTAGTGTTGTAAATTAGTTAGTTAGTTTATATTAGATTATATTAAATGATTTTTTAAATATTGTTGTTTAATTTTTTTTTTACAGATTCATTACAATGGCTGACCAAATTCCACTGTTGAGGCTTGACAATGAACATATTTCAAGTCATTTGGGAATAATGGTGAATAAATATTTGTTTAATGAATTATAATTAATAAATATTTGAATATTTTTATGATTGTGATAATTTTTTGAAATATTTAATTGTAGGAGGACGAGCAGCGAGTCCTTCGTCTTCGACTACATAAAGTGCCCAGCCACACCCACTAATAGAAAAAATTTGCAAGAGGCTGGATTTTGGTATATCACATTTGTGCGAGATTACAAGTTGGTCCCAGGTTTGATCAGTGCGTTGATTGAACGTTGGAGACCAGAAACGCACACGTTTCATTTGCCGTGGGCGAATGCACGATAACTTTGGAGGATGTGGCAATGCAACTCGGGGTCCAAACTAATTGGATGCCGGTGGTAATGTCACATGAGTTTAATAAGGGAACAACTTTGCAACTTGTTTCTTGGGAAAGCGCCCGTACCACCAGAGTGTAAAGGGTGGCAGGTGAGGTTGTCATGGTTGAAGAATGAATTTCAACTTCAATCAAATAGTAAGGAGCACGAAAT